GTATAATGAATTAGAAATAGAGACTGTGAACGATGTTTATTGGTTATTCTTATTTTCTCAGAATCATTCTTTTTCAGTAACATGCCAAGCCATCATGCTTAAGAAAAGAAAAATTAAAAAGTATTTTAGCATTTGATAAACATACTCCAGTTTGGGGAGGTAGATGCTGAATTCAGGAGTAAAAGTACAGCTATTTCTACAATCAAATGAACTGTGAAATTTCATTCATTCACGACTTTAGAACTTGCAAAATACTCTAGAGATTATTCTCTATAATTTGTTCTAGTAATGAATTTTATATGCACAACCTCATTAACCAAAAAATATTTGGTAGGATTTCCTAGAGCAATAAACTACAGAACTTAAGTAGATAAGCCATTAAAAAAGAGAAATACATTTAAAAACAAAAATACATTGAAGATAATTGTTAATTCTGTTTTTATCAGTCCCCAAGTGGATCGCTTCCTATGAGTTTTCAAACTTTTCAAAATTAAATTTAAGTTTATTTCTGTTTATGATGTTATAAGAAAAAACATGTTTTTTTCCAATCCACAGTCTCAATGCTAACACACCTTTCCACTCATGTAGTCCAATCACTGAGTGATTCCAGGGCACTGACAGAACAACTCATCTTAACTGGTTCCCTGGTTCCTACATGAGAATAATGTCTACTCACAAGGCTTAGTAACAAACAAAATAAAACAAAAAAATCTCACTGTTTGTGTGTGTATATCCCATAGAGAAGCCTTGTTACTTAAAATCATAAATTAAAAGACTGTGAAAAATGTTCAAGTTTATAATCAGTCTAAACTAAAAGAGAATTCACCTAAAGCAGCAATGAATTTGTTTCCAAAAAAGGGCTGCTTATTACATACTACAATCTCTAACAAGATCAGTGATCCCATATAAACACCAACATTTGATGCAAAACAGTCCACCAGTGAGATTTCTGTAAAAGAACAGGTAACCTAGAGATGTCAAATTATTTGAGAACTATTTTTAAAAAGTAATAGCTCTTTTTTCTACATTTCTAAAAATGAATCACCCCAAACCTAAAAACCAGTAATAGTTAATTTTATCCCTAAAGCTCTAGAGTTTCATCACTATTTAATTGTTTTTCAATTGTAGAAAAAAGTAACTTAGATTAATTTTGTGCTCCAATGCTATTTCCTGGTAATTCCTTCTCCTTCTACCTCTTCAAATATTATCCACATCTCAAACAAAGATCCAAAATCTTCCTTTTTGACTCTTAATTTCCCCAAATAATTTATTCTTCATAAAAATCTCCAATATATAGTTGTAACACTTGGAATATCCTATATATGGCATTAGTCCATTGGTGTTAATCATGACAATCTGAACAAACTATAAGTTTCTTAAAATTCATATCTTACCATCTTTTTAAAGCTTCTACTCTCTTCACTAAATGCTTATCATAGTACTAAGGACACAGCAAGTATTGGTTTACTAATCTACTATGCTCACTTTTATTCTCAATTCTGCTTTCCTTCTCCAAGCCTGTTAGATCATAGTGAGAGTGGCCACTAAAGGCAGCAATGCCTTTTTACACTATTGATGTTCAAAGACACAATAAATGCATTCCAAACTTACCTTTTGAGCTCACTGAGATCAGAAACTATAACTCATTCATTTTACTCATCTTGGTAACAATAAAAAGGTAATCCAGCTCATAGTAAGTGCTGAATAAATATGCTGAATTATACTTTTTTTCCATCATAGTACAGAAGACCAAAAGATCTCTGTTGTTTCTGTTATGAGTCAAGTTATTTGAGGTTTTACTAAATTCTGAAGGCAGAATAAAACTGCCCTTAAGCTTTCTAGAAATTCTGTTCCTCTTCCAATATGTAATCCAATTATAAATGATTAAGTAATAATAATTAAATAATTAATCATAAAAGACAACCAAAATAATAATGGAGTTGTTACTGATAATTACTATTTCAGGCAACTATATGTTCGAATCAACTCTACTAACTGAATTTTCAGATGACTAAAGCCCAGAAAACTTCTAAAAAGAAAAGCGATTTCAAAATAACCTCAAACAAAAGTCCAATATTGTTGGTGCAGAGTATATGTAAATATTAAGGACAGAATATTAAAAATAATATATTGCACTTTAGATAGAATGAAAAGAACAGAAAAGAAAAATAAGTGTCATATGGAGGCTAATATAGTGATCTAGTCATAATCACTTTGCTATTTCTAATTTCTGTTCCAAGTTAATAAGAGCTCTGCTAATTTATATCAAAATATATTAAGGCCTAAAGCATGGCATTGCCCATTAAGGGATTATAATTCTAAATATAACAGTTTATATTCAATATATACCAACGATAAACTGCTAGAATATCAGATGTAACAATTGATGAATTTATAGTGACATTTGTAAGTCATAGGTATAGAGACCAAGATTTGTAATTTACAGAGTTTTCAGTTATTTCTCCATTCAAAGCTACATCAAAGACATGTTTAGTCACATGTGCAGTATTTATTATCTTAAAAAGATAAATGCTGGACAACTGCAAGATGTCATAGGTTAAATATGTCCTATAAATATTTTGTTCTCAAAATAACTATCATTCATATTATATAAATAGCCAATGTTTTGAGATTCGGTCACAGCATAATACAACTCTGTGTGCAAATCTAGGATGATGATATCCTCACAAAAGTAATTAACAATCACATCACATCATTTATCAGACATAAATTATACTCTCAGGGGTGAGATTTTTACCCCAACAAACCCTGGCAGCCAATCAAAGCTTTCAAAACATCAAGATAAACCTTATCTCTAGATCTATTTAGAAGACAGTTCCTTTCATTTACTTGCTTGTACATTATCTATGCTTTTCCATTCCTTCTACATAATCTTTTTTCTTTAAACATTCTCCAGTAAATGAAGACACAGAAAGAGTGAAAAAAAAGAGTCATTCACGGACTATCTGATTTTTCTTGAGATTCTAACCAAGAATCACAGGGAGGTTAAAAGTTTCACTAGTCTCCAAATGTTTACAGAACAATGATGCAAAGCAGCATCAGGACCATGTACAGTTTCTTGTCATTTATTCTGTCTCAAGTAGGGAGTGGAGTGACACATCATAAGGAAGGATGTGCCCATAGATGCAGTTTTGATTGACTACCTTTCTCTTACTCTCAGCCTCCTGGCTAAGACAGTAAACACAGTTACTGTGCTGATGTAGGTTTTCCCACATCCCCCACCTTGGAAACATCAACAACTATAAAGCACAATTCTGCCAAAAGGAACATGCCCAAATTTGTTCATTTTTTACAACGCCATAATGTTTCAGATGAAAACACAGCCTGCCAAAAATGTCAAATGAAAGGATAACAAAGAAACTACAGCATCTTTAGACTTGAATTTCAATGCCTAACCTCGCCATCTGTCAACCAGTTGTGAAACAATGATCCTAGAGAAGCCCTGCAAACATGAACAAGTTTTATCCTCACATCTATCATCTATATCAATCTCCACTCTCAGGACCTCAGTAGTGATTATATTCTGTCTGTGGAGCAAACTACAGGAATGGCATTTGCCATTGGCAAAAAGAACTCTGCTAATGAATGGGCCATTTTAACTGACTTGCATTTGGTAACAAACACGGAGTGCAGGTCACAGAGGTAATGGGGAGCGGAAGAGGAAGGGCAGAGTGACTCTTTCCTCATATTCGGATTGGAAACTTGATAGAAGAGGTTAATCTCTAGAGGCCAGACACCCAAACTACCCTCAATTTCCTTCCACTCGGCCTCAGAAACAAGATTACGATTTTGGACTTAGACTAAGCCCCACCCCTTCCCTTCCCGTCTCGCTATCATCACCTAAGAAGTTACAGTCTTAGATCTCCAGCAACCGCGGGTGTGGACGCTGACTGAGAACCGCACCAGCACCCATTCGGTAGCAGAACAGCGGGCTCGGACTCTACCACCAGCTCCGCGACTCCACCAGCTGCCGGCCGGGCTCGCGGGAGACTCTCCCCCCGCCCCCTACCCACCGCCCTGCAAGCGGGTCTTCGCCCCGGCTTAGAGCGGGCGCCGGAGTTACGCAGCCCCAGCCCAGATACTGCCTCCGTTTCTTTCTATCCGGATCACGGGGCGGGGATGAGGGTGTGGGAGGGCAGAAGTGGTTGGAAGGGGAGCGGAATTGAACCAAAACGGTCCCGGTTCCTAAGAGCCAGGACGCAAGTGGCAAGACCCTGGCGCACGCACAACACACAAACACGCCGACGCACCCTGATTCCCAGGTTCAATGCCAAGTGGCGACAAGCTGGGAGGAAGGGGGCGGGGGGGGCGGAGTTACTGGGAGCGACATTGGAGAGCAGGGGATGCCTCAGGAACTGCGAAAGTGAGAAAGTCCCAGACTCCTCTTCATCCTCAAGTCTGGGCTCTCCTCCCAGCAACCCGGTTCCAGCGGGGCTCGGAACTCGGGGAGGAGAGCTGGAACCGAGCTTCTTCCAGACTGCCCTCCCCCGCCTGGCCCAGGGCCCGGAACCCGGACCCCGGACCCCCTTAAGCCTTGGCTTGGGGAGGCTGCTCTTTGGCAAAGAGCGGCTTGCCAAAGGGTCTGGGGGTGCAGGAGGGCAGGAAAGAAGCATCTTGCACTCTCTGGCCGGGCTGCTCATTTCTTCCTCTGTCTACACACACCCCTCCGTTACCCCGACATCACACACACACACACACACACACACACACACACACACACAGCTACAGAGACACGCACGCGCTCACCCCTCCCACCGTTCCAGGTCCATCGATTAAAACACTAGTTGATTTCTTCCTGATTAAAAAAAAAGTGCAACAACTCTTCTGTGGAGTCGCAGGAGCAATGAAAGTCCGTCTGCAGGCGTCTTACTATAGTTTCCTAGGAGTTAAGAAATCTGGCGGTCCCCAGTAAAAACCCGACCGAGAACCCCAAGGGGGCGAAAGGCGACGAACTCCTTCCCCACCCCTGCGCCTCTCACCTCCTTAAGTTCCTTGGCCACGTCCTTCAGGTCGCCCAGGACTAATTCCAGATCCTCTACGATTATCTTGATCTGTTCCTTCACCTTGGTTTTGGAGGCTGCCGCCGGTCCCTCGGCAGGAGAGGACGAGGACAGGGTCCCCTTGGACTTGGCTGACATTCTTTGGGGCCAAACGAGGCAGGTCAGCACAGGCGGGCGAGCGGAGGCTGCTGCGCGCCCTGGTCCCCGGCGCTGCTGCGGCCGCTGCCGCCCGGATCCCTCCACATCCTGGACGCTCCCTGGGCAGCGGCGGGTGGCTGCGCTCGGTGCTCCGCCGGGCGGCCGCACTGTGGTGCTGCCATCAACTCCCCCAGACGCGGCGCTCGGCGCGGGGCTGCAGACGGGCAAGCAGCGCGCCTGCGCCTCCTCCTGCCGCCGCACGCCGCTCTCGCGCACACACGCGCTAGCTCCCCGCCCGCCGAGAGGGTGGCCGGCTGCGGTGCCTGGGGCTGTCAGCTGCAGTTCCCGCGGCACTTCCCTCCGGGATCTCTTCCAGAACACCTGGGCATCAGGGAGCAGGGAGACAAGTTCGTGTCCTGCCCACCCCTCTGTCTTGATCCTGAAATGCTCTCATCATTGCAGCCTGCTGTATGTCTTCTCACATCTAGCCCGGATTCCTTCTATTTCACCGCTAGCAGAGATCTGGATACCCATCACGCTTTCTCGTCAATTCAGAGAGAACCACGGTCCGGTCAGGAGTTGAATTTAGGGTCAGTAAAGCAACCCTAAATGTTTATCCAGTATGTCCAGAAAACCTTCAATCATTCCCAAAGTGACCTGACTACGAGTTAAACACAGGTGTTCTTACTTCTGCAGGAAAAAAAAAAAAGAAAAGAAATGTGCGTAAATCGCGACCCCTCACCCCCGGAATCGTGAAATAAATGTTTCTGAAAGAGGTTGCATAATCTTGCTGATTCCACAAAACTAAAAGCGGATTTACTAATTTGAAGTCCCCACACCAAAAATCCTCCCCTCCCCCCCCCCTCGAAGACTGAGTCATCTTGGCTGTACTTATCTGGGACAGCGCCTTTTTTCTTTTCCTTTCTGTTTTTTTTTTTTTCTCTCTCTCTCTCTTTTCTTTTCTTTTTTAAGTGTCCTTCCTTTTTTTCGTGGCCTATGCTGATGTATATATTTTGGCTAAAGGGAAAAAAATACCCTGTCTAGCTCTCCTCTTAAGGGAGCTGAATAAGAGTTTGCCTCCAACTTTTTTTTTCTTTTTCTTTTTTTCCTCTTTTTTCTTGCCTCCATTTCAAATTTCGTGTCACTAAATAAATAAGAAATAACTTTCTGACTGTTTTGTCCAAAGGAGGCAAGGAGAGGAGTTAATAGGAAGGCTTTGACTTCATTCTCAGTAGGTGACTACCATTCTTATTAGCTAAAGTTTTAATTTCCTTTGTAGCAAACCCATGGGCTATTAGCTACTGACCTGACAGCCTGGTTTACTTCATTTTCTTCAGTACACACTACTCCAAATCATTATTTTAATAGGCTTCGCATTTTAGTCATGCCTTACCAGGGCTCTCTATTTCTTGCTTCTCACAACCCCCAGGTCTATCCAACATGCTTCTATTACATGAGGAAAATCTTGGCAGCTCTCCTCTTCTCAGATCCTTAAGCTCCTCATAATCTGTCACTCTCTTCATTCTGAATAAAGTTTGATGAAACCTTTGGAAGTCATATTTGGAATGTGAAAGAAAAAAAAGAGATGACAGAATTAAAAATAGAAAATTAGAAGTGGTGTCAAAAGAATAACAGCATTGAAAACTACATTGAAAAAAATCAGCAGAAATAAAAGAAAGTTGGAAAACAGAGGCTGCTGGAAGAGAATTAAAATAAAGAATAAAAGAACCAGTGTACAGTAAGCACTTTGGAGAGGAGAAAAGAGAAGAAATAATTAGAAGTTTTAAATGAGTAATATGCTTGAGTTCTCTGAGGTTGGGAGAATAGATTTTTAAAGTTCTTTCAGCTCTGCAGGTTCTGTATTTTATAAAAATGTAACAGTAAAAATAATATCATGTATACAAACTCCCACACTAGAAATTCCTGATCTTTAATGATATTCTCATTTCATATCTGAATAAAGATAAATGGTCAGAAATGAAAGGAGATAATATGAGAAAAAAGAAAAGGTGGTGCTCTTCTAGATTTTAATTTTTGACTTAATAGTAGGCAAGTGAATATCGAAGTCCCAAAAACTCAAAGTATAATGATTTTAGGGAAGAATATTGGAGAAGAGGGAAGAAAGTGATATTTTCCTTCCCACTGACAATATAACACTTTTATAAGAATATGTCCATTAGACTCTTAAGCTCTTTCACTGAAGATTAAAAAACAATGTTTTCCTATGATATTCATTGTTATTAATAAACCAAGCTATTCTTGCTCAAAATTGAATTGTAGTATTACTCTAAAGCACACCATTCATACCCACATCACAATTTACACTTACATAATGGTTATTATCTATCTATATCTAAATATAATATATAGATACTGAAAGGGGAAAGTTAAAATTGGCTTTTAAGACAGACAGAAGAAGTTGAGAACCATATAATATCACTCATATGTGGGATATATAACAAAGTATTAAACAAACATGACAGATAGACTCATGGGTGGGGACAAGGGATTAGTGGTTATCAGAGGGAAGAGGGGAGAGGAAAGTAGATGAGGTAAAGGGAATCAAATATTTGGTGGCAGAAGGAAATTTAACTGTGGGTGGTGAACATATAATGCAATAAACATATGCTGTATTATTGAAATGTACACTTGAAAACTATTTGATTTTATTAACCAATGTCACCCTAATAACTTTAATAAAAAAAATAAAAAATAAAAAACTAGTAGAACCCCTAGCAGTGGTAGCTACCACTGTCTTCTAGTCATAGGTAAAATATTCCTAAAGCAGAAAAATTTACAAAGAGAGTTAAAAATATTGAGGAGAAAGAGGCAGAATGGAAAAGACACATGGATATAAATAAAGTTTATTTACTCCATATTTTTGTATCACTCTTATGGAAAAATCATTATTCCTTTGGCTCATCCTGAACTCTCACAACTGAGTATATATGATGTTTTAAATCCCAGTTATGAAGACGAAATAGCAAAAGTGACAATAAAATTTCTGATGAATCTGTTCATAAATTTATTTATGTACTAATGCTAGGTACAAACAGGTACATACTCAAACCATATCATTTATAAACTGAGAATAACAGATTTCTAAATAGAAAAAGAAGGTCTCAGGTATACAAGTGATTGTGCACCCAACATTTTATTCTTTCTGCCTCTTTATCATTTTTCTGAGTTTTGTGGCGGGAAAGATTAGATTATTATAGAAGATCATCTACTGACTGCTTTTTTAGTTACAAGCACTTGTCGGTATTCGTGTGTGTGTATGTGGCTAATATATTGCAATCAATCCCTAATATCCTGCATAAGAAAATGCTACAATACAGACATAATTTTTAATTAACAAAGCTCGAGAATATTCCCAAAGTATTGCCCCTTTTTGTTGACAGTGGCTCTTATTGACATGCTATCCTAATAATACTTATCGGTTCTCAATAAAAGGATGAAAAACAATATAACATTATTCTTAATGGAGACTTTTGATGTTCTTTCTTTTATTGTATGTAAACTTATTTTTTATGGTAAAATTCAATAAGGTTTTTAGAGATATTTGAAAACATGAAGAAGGAGGAGGAAGAGGAAGAAGAGGAGGAGGAGGAAGAAAAAAAAAAGAAAAGAAAGATAGCTTTGTCTGACCAAAACAGGTTTCACCAGGGGATAGGGGTGGAGAGTAGTAGAGGAGGACATGGGAGTTTGGAAGAGAAAATGTTGTTAGTGAAACGCAGCAGAGAAAAATTAGAAAAGTATATATGTACGTATATATATATATATGTACATATATATATATATACGTACATATATATATATATGTATATGTACACACACACACTATTAAATATTGCATAGGTCCAGGCAGTGATTCTCAAACTTTGGCATGCATTAGAGCTTGTTAAAACAGATTTTTGGACCCCACCCCAGGGTATCTGATCCAATATGTCTGGGGTGAAGTCTGAAATTTGCATTTTAACTAGTTTCTTGGCTGCTGGAAGAGGACTATATTCTGAAAACTGCTGGTTGGAGAGATTTAAAGAAAAATTTTAGGTTTCTTTTTAGCCAGAATAAGCCTTAAAGATAATCTAGTTATATTGCTTTGTGTTATAGATGAGAAATTAAGGCCTTAGGAGATTGAATGATATATCCGATGTTTCACATCTAGGGAATAAAAATTGAGAGCTAGGACCCTATGTTAATTCCTAGTTTTCATGGAGTGGTCTTCATTTGTCTGAACAATGTTTCCCTTTTATGTATCAACTGCTTTTGGCATGATGGCTATCTACTATTGACGTATATTGGTTTAAAAATATTTGATCTGGAAGTTTAAATACAAATACCCATTGTAGTATTCTGACTAATTAGAACTGTGTCTTTTGCAAAATAGCTGCTCAATAAATACTTGACAAATAAATGAATAAATGAAATGCTGCCTATTTCGTATGGTTTGAAATTAATTTACTTCAACAAATATACATTTTAAAAGGAGAAAATAACCAAATTTATTCTGTAAGGATATTGGATCCCTCACCAAATTGGATTCTTCAACAAATATTTTTTAAATGGCTACTCTAGGCAAGCATCTACACTATGGAGTAAACATCACTAGGTTTAGCAACATAGTCTCA